GAAATATTACAGGCCCTCCCGATAATTGTGTATCTTCCAGAAGCTCCAGATACATTTGTCCGATTAAATTGCCTTCTAAAAACAATGGGCCAACAATACAGTCACCAAAAATTCCAGCCCATACATTTAATTTTTGTGGACGTTGAGTATGCACTTCATGAAAAATGTGAGGATTTGAATCAGCCCAATAGCGACAATTATGGCGATTAACTGTGCTGTTCAGAAAAAAAGAACATTCATCACTGAAGCGAATGTTGAAAACAATATATGTGGATTTTCCACCGCTCGTTTACTAACCAACTCGCAAAATTGCAAACGTCGATCGAAATTATCTTCATTCAGTTCTTGCGTTAATTTAATCTTGTGAGGATACATTTTGTGGGTTTTTAAAATACGCCGAATGCTAGTTCGTGACTAGCGAAAAAACCGCCCAAACCATTATCGCAGATTAAAGCAAAAACGATACTTAACACAGATGCATTTAGGAACGCCCTAACGCTCCTGACACGAAATTTTACCTGTCAACCTGAAAACATTACTGGTGCCTTAAAGAATGCTCAAAAGATCAGTACGCTGAGAACATCCTACATGTGTTCAACTCCTGGTGGTCCCAGGAGTTGAACACATGTAGGATGGCATGCAATTCAGCAAGAAGGAGAGTAACTAGAGCCAGGGCGCGGAATGGTAACCCAGCCTTAGTGGAAACCCTCGAAAATGCCTACAAAGAAAGGAGACGGAAATATAAAAACCTCACCAGAGCTTCAAAAAAAGCCAAGTGGAAGACACTATGCAACGAGCTGGAAGATGTTTGGGGCCAAGGCTACAAGACTGTGGCTAAAAGCCTCAAAAACAATGGGTCACCGTATAATTTGGATGCAGAGGAAAAGATAAAAGTAATCAAGAAATTGTTCCCACAGATGGATGATAAAAACAATAAAAGTCCGATCGCACACGAAGTGGAAGAATTTACGAAACGAGAACTAGGAAGTGCCTTAGATAAACTAAAAATGGGCAAAGCACCAGGACCTGGTGCATTGTTGTCGAAGTGGTCAAAGAGGCAGGGAAAACTAGGAGGGACCTATTTCTCCAAATGTACAAGGGGCTACTTCAGAAGCAAGAATTTCCATCCGAATGGAAAATTGCAGGCGTGGCCTTGATCCCAAAGGGACCGGACAAATTCACTGGAGAACTGAAATATAGAACCATCTGTCTCCTGGATGTTCTAAGAAAACAATTTGAACACCTCATCAAGGCCAGGTTGGAAGTAGAACTGGAGGACAAGGAGGGCCTAGACGACAACCAGTTTGGCTTTCGCAGTGGTAGATCCACCATAGATGCCATAAAGCGAGCAGTTGAAATATCCCAGAATACAAACGAGAAGTGGAGCGCAATGATAATGGTCGATATTGAAAATGCCTTCAACACGGCATCATGGAGCATTATCATAACCAAACTGAGGCAGATTGGGATTAGCGCCTACATCATCAACCTGGTGGAGAGTTACTTCACCAATAGAAGCCTGAAGACCGAAAGGGAAAAAATCAAAATAACCATGGGAGTCCCACAGGGTTCGGTCCTCGGCCCGACCTTATGGAACGTACTCTACAATGAGGTTCTTGGGTTGGCACTGCCAAGAGGCTGTCACGCGCAGGCATACGCAGACGACCTGGCCCTGATTGTTTGTGCAAAGGACAAATCAGACTTGATGGAAAAAGCAAATAGATCGCTGAGAATTACGCAGGACTGGATGACGGAGCATAGACTCAAACTCGCACCAACGAAGACTGAAGCCATCATTATGAAAGGCCCCAGGAAGCGTGAGGATATAGTTTTTGAATTGGGGGTGTCTAGGATAGAACCGAGAAAGTAAATTGAATACTTGGGGGTATGGTTGGATGATAAGCAAATATTCAATAAGCATGTGAAGGAGACGATTCAAAAAGCTGAAAAGTCAGTCGTGCAATTAACCAGGCTGATCCTGAACATAAGTAACACAGGGAGTATAAAAAGACACTTACTCTATGGAGTGGTGCAATCAATCTTGCTGTATGGTGCCACCATTTGGCATAAAGTAATGTATATTAAAAAATACTACAATATGATGACCAGTACAGAAAAGAAAATGCTCCTGCGGGTAGCAAGTGCATACAGGACAACGTCTAGCGCCTCTCTACAAGTTATCACGGGGACGCCCCCCATTGACCTGCTGGTATATGAAAGAACGGCACTGTATGAAGTCAGGAGTAGAGCAGCGGAAGAGAACATGGAATCCCAGTTGACAGTAAGGGAGGAAACTATAGAAAAATGACAAGATAGATGGAGAGGAAACCTGGAGACATCCCAATGGACCAAACAACTAATGGGGGATATAAAACCCTGGGTAAGGTGTAAACACCGAAATTTGGATTACTTCTTGACGCAATTTCTAACGGGACATGGTTCATACAAGACGTATCTACACAGAATAAAAAAGGGTCAAATGATACATGCGTATAGTGCAACGAGGTCGATAACCCTAAACACACTTTTTTCGAGTGTATGAGATGAATATTAAGCAGACATCGAATAGAAATGGAACTTGGTAGAGAACTAAATGAGGGAAACATCATAAATATCATGATAGAAGATAGGGAAAACTGGAGACGCATACATTAGGGAAGTCATGAAAACAAAAGAGGAGGAAATAAGGGAAATGGAACAGGGAGCGGGCTGAACAAACCAATCGAAGGCAAATCAGGGCTGCCGCAGGTCATCCGTGTTATGTCTTACCTAGATAGATCCGGAACCAGAGAGGGCAAACGAGGTGGTTTTGGTGGGTGCAACTCCCACACTGTCAAGGAAAGGCAAAACTAGTACCTGTCGTCCAGAGATTTCCACTTGTCAAAAAAAAATAAAGTTCGTGACACCCCGGAAACAAATGCTAACTTTCTTGTACTCAAAGTATGGTCAAGCTCAACATGGCCCAGAATTGTCACTTGTGTCGCTTCATTTGTTACTGGTGGTTCGATTCGTCGTTTTTTATTTGCTACAGATCCACTTGCGCGAAATATTGCAATTGAATCGAAAACATACTGTCGTGACCCATTTTTCCCATGCTGTTGATTGAACAATTCAGCGGCTCTCGCAGCACAACGTCTATTTCCATAGTGCAGTTCAATTAACTCAATCCTCTCTGCAGTTGTGTAAACCATTGTTTCTTTAGCAACACTTTACGGCACTCACTACTAGTAATAATGTAGGTATCGCTTTTAACATAAAAATGAGAAATAGAAACAGCATTTTTAACCATTTCTCAATTGTAATGGTCCACTTATCAGAAAACTAAAAAATTAACAAAAAAGTAGCGTAAGGAACAAATGAAAGAGTTCCAAATACATTCCAACTAAGCAGTGGCTTACAACAATTTGTTGCTATTAATAATATTGAAAAAGTTAATTATCAAAAATAACTTTTTTGAATACGTCCAAATTTTAAAAAAATGTACACCACTGTTTAGAGAACTCCAAGATCTTTCAAACGATGTGCGACTCGTCCCCTATTCCCTATCAAAATTCCTAGGGTTGTTCACCCTTCTGCAACGTGGTTGAAGTAACGACGCTGTAAATGGGGAAAAACTGTCCCCCTCCCAATAAAAATCGACCTGTCTAAGCGTTTTTAAAGATTTGCAAGATTAGTACCCAAAACCTCCATGTCAACTTTTCCATGGCCCACTCTAAATTATAATCAGGTGAATCTCCTTCATGGCTTCAGAGTGAAGAATCTGTTAGATTACTATCACAACCATTGCTGATCAAAATTCGTTTTATTAAATTCAGTTCTATACTGAAATTCACATTTGCTACTTTTTGTTGATATGTATGTGTGGAAATGAGTCCCAAAGTGGTCGACTACAGTAATCCAGGACGAGGCCCCATCTCAAACGGTGTGTGAACTCCCAGGTGGTTTTTGATGGTTTAAAACGTATTGGAAAGGCCAGGAAATTCGAAACGTAGTTGCCCCACGATTTGAACGATCGACAGAAATTGTCACGTTTCGAGATCCATTCTTCTTTGCTTTTGCGCAACCAAAAAGATCCTTTTTTGGATCGGATTATCATGTGTGATGAAAATTAGATCCTCTACGACAACAGGAGATGTTCAAGACAGTGGTTGGACACCTGCGAGCCACGCAAGCACTCCCCAAATTATATTCGAGATTTTTTTCCAACCCTATTGTTAGATATCACACGTTAAAAGGTAAGACATCGTTCGTCCTTAACTCGCACAAGTTTCTCAACTTCTGAGAGTTGCTACAGATCCAGTTGCGCGAAATTTTGCAATTGAATCGAAAACATACTGTCGCGACCCATTTTTCCCATGCTGTTGATTGAACAATTCAGCGGCTCTCACAGCACAACGTCTATTTCCATAGTGCAGTTCAATTAACTCAACCCTCTCTGCAGTTGTGTAAACCATTGTTTCTTTAGCAACACTTTACGGCACTCACTACTAGTAATAATGTAGGTATCGCTTTCAACATAAAAATGAGAAATAGAAACAGCATTTTTAACCATTTCTCAATTGTAATAGTCCACTTATCAGAAAACTAAAAAATTAACAAAAAAGTAGAGTAAGAAATAAATGAAAGAGTTCCAAATACATTCTAACTGAGCAGTGGCGTACAATTTGTTGCTATTAACAATATTGAAAAAGTTAATTATCGAAAAGAACTCTCTCGCCCCCTATTCCCTATTAAAATTCCAAGGGTTGTTCACCCCTCTGCTCCGGGGTTGAAGTGACGACGCTGTAAATGGGAAAAAAACTGTCCCCCTCCCAATAAAAATCGATCTGTCTGAGCGTTTTTTCGGACTTGCAAGATTAGTACCCAAAACTTCCATGTCAAAGTTTCTATGGCCCACCCTGTATCAAAAACAGATATGTCATTTCTCAGTTGATCGAAAACGAGTTTCCGTAATAGATGATTAATAGGAAGTGTCTGGATCATTGTTCAATCTTGAAATAGTGAAAGGGCATCTTTCACAACAGCAGTATGAAATTTCCGTTTTGCGTCAATCCAGGCCCCAGACGGGCTGGATTATAAATTTCAGCAACCATCAATGACTGTTTCAACGTCTTGAGCAACAAATTGTGGTGAATCTGACTCACTTGTAATAATAAATAATCAAACAAAACCGGTGTTTCATGCCTCCTGGCATAATTTCGGCTTTGTTATTAAAACAGTTGTGGATTCCCTATGATTCGCTACATTGTTACGGAAATTTTAATTCACGCACGTGTCATAGGTTACTCAGAATTCAGAAAAATTCTAAACAATTGAATTCTCATAAAGTCGACCTATTGAATCTGTGCCACCGTTTTGAATTTAGTTTGTCTTTAGACACCATGATTGTGATAAGTGTAGTTGTGGTTTGTTTGTTACAGTGTAGGTTTTTGTGTCAAGGAGCACCTCTCCAAGAATCCAAGTTCGCTCAAATTCCATCTGGAGAAGCAGTAAGTCAATTTTTTTGTTCTCCACGTACGGAAAGTCAAACAGTTTTTACAAATTGATGATAATTACAGACAATTTCAATTTATGAAAAATCTCAAACTGAGAACGCAATAAATAATTTTTTAACGTTTGTTTGAAGGTGATTGACAATGTTTCATGATGAATTTCACTAGTTCGGACTTCCATTGTCTACTATATAAAATGATTTGAAATCCCTGAAACAAGTAAAAAAGAATAATTAAAAAA